ATAGGGCCCAGAGCCAACACTAAGATTATGAAGTCTAGAAAATTTCACTTGCCCTATCCCCAGTAATTTCACACGTTACCTCAAACCAACATAAATATCAAAGGCAATATTGAAGTGAGAAAGAAGTCACAAAAAGGCACGATGAAGCCTTAGCAGAATGGAAGAAAATGCAGGAAGGAAGTCCTAGCCTGGCTGCCTTGGCACTTTGGTTTGGTAGAGGGGACACAAACTTACTGTGTAAACCTCAGACAAAAATTGGAACCAGTTTGAGCATTTTTGTGCATCTCCTCCCTCCCAGACACCTACTCCAAATTGACAGCTCAACATCCTCAGCTGAACAAAATGAAGCAATCTTGCTGCCATGTTGCTGTCTTGTTCTAAGAATAGCTAACAAATTCCATTTGGGATCCCCCAGGGAACACACACTTATTCTCCATCCCTTCGAGTGCTAGAGTCCATGCTCTTATATCTTGAGGAGCTGAGAGACTATCACAGTTGCCATGCACACCACGTTACATACCACAGCATTTCCTAAGGAGCCAGTTTCCTCCCTGCCCATGGTCTCTGTGCTCCTGAAAGGGAGAGTCAGAAAGTGGTCAAGGACTTGACTCCTGTCCCACATTCCTCCTCCAGCGACTTCACCATCTGAGCTTGCCTGTCTGATTCTGAGGCCTCCAACGGCTTACAAGTGAGAGAAAGTTGTATACTGATGGAATTTCTGCAGGATGCCATGTTCTAGGAAAGGCAAACTATTAGTTCCTGAGGATAGAGATATATTTCATTTCCCTTTGAAAATTCAGCACCTGGCACTTGGTAGGTATGTGACAAATATCGGTGACACTGAATTCTTTCTAAAGGTCAGAATGCCTAAATATTGGTTAGGAACAAGCCATGAATCTGACCCGTTTCCTGCTTGTCAACTTGTCTATAATCTTCCCAGAGCAGATGATACCTTTGTCATAGAAACTCTCACATCCTTTGGATGTTACTCACAGATCCAAGGGTGGTGATGGATAAATGATCAACACGTAATTTCTGAGACCTAACCTCAGACTGTTCGGAAAGATCTGGATATTTCATCCTCCACCTTCCCAGCACCTCACAGGATACACACCCAGGAATAAAATGAGGTGGACTTCAGACTGGATTGAGGACATTTCTAGTTTCTTACCAACCTTTGGCAACACAAGTTACCAGGACATTGGGCAAAAAGTAGACACATAAAGGAAGCAAACTGAGCTCTTGAATCACTTCCTCCTGGCACCACCTACCATTGACCTCACACTCAGACTCATGTGCACACACCCAGACATGACACACTCTCATAAACATTCACAGCATTACCCTGAACTCTTAAGTGGTAGTGACACAGAAGCCATTACGACTATACTCAGTTCACATATCCGTTATAGGAGCTACCCAGACAACATTAACCATCCCATAAGAATTAAAACTTCAACCCACTCCCACTTCACCATATATGAATACTGGGAGCTAGAGCATGCATATGATTCTCTGTGCTCTGCTGTTCTGTCAGGTTCCATGGAGAAAAGAAAAATATGAAGCAGAGACCCTAATGGCCATGAAAAAAAATTTCTGCTATTTATTTCAGTGAAGTACAGTCAGGAAACAGCTAGCACACTTGTCAAAATAATCATAGCCCACCCAGAAGCTGAATGTGATGCTCACGGGTAGGTTGTAGAGGGAGGTGGGATAACAAAAAGGGAAGCTAGGTCAATACCAAATCATGAGAAGTCTATGCAATGGCAGAAAACTTCTCAACTTAACCCTCTTTCCCAGAGCCAAGGGTGCTCCTGACTCCAGAGACGCCCCACCACAAACACACTGGGCATCTTCAGCTCACTGAAACACAGAGATTTAGAGAAGAGACAAATAGAACACACAGCCTTCTCACTTGGGGGAGACAGAAACATGTGATAAACAAACAGCATTCAGAGATCTGCCACCCCTGGCCCTACTCCCTGTGACGGATCACAGAATCAGAACTTTAGAGCAAAAGGAACACAAAAGACTATCTCACTCTAGCTCAACAATTTACAGATAAGAAAATGCAAGTCTAGAGTGTGTCAGGGACTTTCTCATAGTAACAAAGGAAGCTGGCAGGTCAGCTGACACAGAAGCTGGTCTCACCATGCCCAGCCCAAGGCCCTCTCCTTGCTTCTGGATCTCCCTAAGGCCAGATGTCTCCAGTGGACATCCCAAAACATGAACCACATAACCCTCTGATGTCCTCACCCAAGGTAGGGAGTGTAACTGGATCAGTCCTCCAAACTTGCTAGTGGATGAGGTGGAGGGAGAAGGATTCATATTTATTCCTAGGTATGCACTGTCATGTTCAAGGCCCTTAGGGAAATTATCACTCCATTTCAGAAAATGTGGGGACATGCATGGACTGCTGCCACAGATAACAGGATCCCCACTTCACACCCAGGCTGTAGTTCCACTACTCCCCACCTACTGCTCTCAGTAGGTCTCTGTTCTTGAGCAAAGCAGCTGAACTTCATATAGAGCTCCACCTCCATGTCAGAGGGGGCTGGACTGAGAAGAACCACACTGTGACTGCTCCTCTGCCAGTGCTCATCCCTGACTGAGCACCAAACCACACACAGGGCCCACCCAGGTTACAGGACCCCCAGGGGCATATAACAGAATCCCCACTTCACACCCAGGCTGTAGTTCCACTACTCCCCACCTACTGCTCTCAGTAGGTCTCTGTTCTTGAGCAAAGCAGCTGAACTTCATATAGAGCTCCACCTCCATGTCAGAGGGGGCTGGACTGAGAAGAACCACACTGTGACTGCTCCTCTGCCAGTGCTCATCCCTGACTGAGCACCAAACCACACA